TAATTATGGTAAAGATGTGTTGCCGGTTTACCTTTCCTGCCCAAGGCACCTGATTGGTCTAATAAAAAACGGAACGACCAATAGCTAGGCAGTATAGGGATAAGCAAGGCTGGCTGGCGGGCAGAGAGACTAAGTAGGAGGAGGAATCTGGGCTCCCGAAAATGGGGAAGAGAACGAGAGGAGAGAATGAGGGGGAGAGAGAGAGGGAGACACTTGAGGCCAGCCAGCCAGGCAGCTAGCAGCCAGCTAGACACAGAGTAGGACATACAGAAGGAAAGAAAAGTAAAAATCCTGGAGGCAAAACGGAGATGGAGAGAAACAGGTCAAGTTATAAGAGCTAGCGAGAAACGAGTATCAGATAAGGCCGAGCATTCATAACTAGTAAGTCCCCATGTCATGATGTGGGAGCTGGCTGGTGGCCCAAAAGAAAGCCTGTTACACATCCATGCTGGGGAGGGATCCGCTTTTTGGCGATGTGGTTGCCTTTGAGTCAATCTTACTCCGTTGAGTAACTCCTCACCATAGCCAATATTCTTGTTAACTTGATCCATTTTTTTTATGTGTGTGGGTACTTTGCCTGCACATACATCTGTGCCCCATGTGTGTGCAGTGCCCCCAGAGGCCAGAAGAGGGCGTCAGATCCCCTGGGACTGGAGAGACAGATAGATGGTTGTGAGCCTCCATGGGGTCCTCTGGAAGAGCAGCCAGGTGATGTTAACTGCTGAACCATCTTTCCGGGCCCCCTTACTCAGTGTTTTTAAAAGTTTTAATAAAATTTGAGCGTGTATGGGGGGAGGGGCACTGCAGAGGTCAGACAAGGACTTTGGGCATCTGTCCTGCTCTGTCACTCTTTTGAGACAGGCTCTTTTACTTAAACTGGAGCTGGGCTGTCACCAAGTCCCAGAGATCTTTCTGTCTCTGTTGTCCCTGAGCTCCCACTGCTAGGATTACAGGCACGCTCTGACATGCCTGTTTTGTTTTTTTTTAATCTGGATGCAGGAGATTTGAACATGGGTCTTCCTGACTGGGCAACAAGTGTTCTTACCCACTGGGACAGTTCTCCAGCCCATTTTGTCCTTATTAGGGTGTGCACATAAAAAGAAGTTCCCCCACGAGACAAGCCTTGGTTGGTGTTCGGCCCAACAGCAATCTCACACATCTTGTTTACCGAGTCTCTCGATTGCATCAAGAGAATGACCAACACTCATCACTCAGTGTGTGTAAGTGCTCTCCATGCTGTTTGTATGATGATGACATTAACTAATGACTTGTTTCTCAGAATGTATCCTTGTCATTGAGCACAGCGTGACCACACCAGCTAGGTGACCTCAGCAAGTTCAGTTTCTCAGCTCCCTGTAAAATGGCAGCGACTGTCATTATGATATTACTTTTTAGTATTCCTGCTGGTTTTTTTTCTTTTTTTTTTTTTGGTTTTTCGAGACAGGGTTTCTCTGTATAGCTTTGCGCCTTTCCTGGAGCTCACTCAGTAGCCCAGGCTGGTCTCGAACTCACAGAGATCCGCCTGGCTCTGCCTCCCGAGTGCTGGGATTAAAGGCGTGCGCCACCACCGCCCGGCTATTCCTGCTGTTTTTAAAGTTACATTTGTGTGTGTGTGTAAGAGAGAGAGACACAGAGAGAGAGAGAGAGAGTACTCCAGCATGCTAAGGACAACATGGGGGAGTTGGTTCTTTCTCTCCACCATGTCCCAGGGATCAGGCTCAGGTCTTCAGGCTTGGCAGCAAGCATCTTTACCTGCTGAGTCTCTCACTAGCCCTTCGTGATATTTCCAATTCTAAAATGTTAGCATTTTGTTGGTATAATGCTATTAATATGTTACCTAAAATAATCTGAAATATGACTTATTTTATCTTCAAGACAGCTGGGCTGTCTTGGTGGTGTATTCCTTCAATCCCAGCAGAGGAAGCAGAGGCAGTTGGATCTCTGTGAGTTCAAGACCAGCCTGGTCTACAGAGTAAGTTCCAGGATGGCCAGGGCTACACAGAGAAACCCTGTCTGGAAAAACAAAACAAACACACAAAAAGAATCTCGTTCCTGCCAGTAATCCCCACACTCCTAAGGTAGAAAGTAGAATTAGGAGGATCAGAAGTTCAGGATCTTCCTGGTTATATAGTGAGTTTGAGGCCAGCATGGACTATATGAGACCTGATTTAAAAAAACAAGCCAGGTGTGATGGCACACACCTTTGATCCCAGCACTTGGGAGGCAGAGGCAGGGGGATCACTGAGACCTGGTTGGGAATCTCACTAAGTTGTCCCGTCTAACCTTGGAGTCTGTCAGTAGCTCAGGGCTGGCTTCAGAAGTCTTCCCAGTTCTGGAATGACAGGTGTGCACAACCAGATGTGGCTGGCCCTTGGCCTTCCTGGGGTTACTGGGCCACTATGTGCAATGATGGGCGCCTCAGGCAGCATTAGGTCCAGGCTCCACCCTCAGGTGATTCTGTGAGGGTGTGAGCCAAGAGAACCACCCATGTGCCAGATGTTAAGAGCTCTGATGACACATACCAGCTGTAACAAACAACCCCCCAAAACAACAAAACCCACTCCCCGGAAGTCCCCCAAACCTGACAACTTGAGTTTGATCCCTGGAACCCGCCTGGTGGGAGGTTGCCACAATTTGCCACAATTGCCACAATTGGTGCCACCCGATTGCCACAATTTGTCCCCTGATTGGCACACGTGAACTCTGGCTCCTACACCACTACCCCCGCAAAGAAATAAAGAAAATGAGCCAGGCGGTGGTGGCACTCGCCTTTAATCCCAGCACTCGGGAGGCAGAGCCAGGTGGACCTCTGTGAGTTCGAGGCCAGAGCGAGATTCAGGACAGGCACCAAAACTACACAGAGAAACCCTGTCTCAAACAACCAAAAAATAAAAAATAAAAAAAAAGAAGTAAAGAAAATGTAATTAAAACATCTTGCTTTGTTTTTGAGACAAAGTCAAACTCTTTTATGCAGCCCTGGCTACCCTGGAATACACTATGTAGATTGTGCTGGCCTCAATCTCCTTAGGGCTTCAATATTTAACACTATTTAAAAACCTTTTTAAGCCGGGCGTGGTGGTGTACGCTTTTAGTTCCAGCCTTTAGGAGGCAAAGGCAGGTAGATCTACATGAGTTCCAGGACAGTCAGGGCTACACAGAGAAACCTTGTCCTTGAAACACATTACCCCCCTCCCCACCCCATTTTCTTTCCAGAACACACAGGGACAGACCCACAGGACAGCCTGAAGGCAGGCACAGACTCAGACACAGACAGACAGACAGACACACAGGGACAGACCCACAGGACAGCCTGAAGGCAGGCACAGATTCAGACACAGACAGACAGACAGACGCACAGGGACAGACTCACAGGACAGCCTGAAGGCAGGCACAGACTCAGACACAGACAGACAGACAGACAGACACACAGGGACAGACCCACAGGACAGCTGAAGGCAGGCACAGATTCAGACACAGACAGACAGACACACAGGGACAGACTCACAGGACAGCTGAAGGCAGGCACAGACTCAGACACAGACAACAGACACACAGGGACAGACCCACAGGACAGCCTGAAGGCAGGCACAGACTCAGACACAGACAGACAGACAGACGCACAGGGACAGACTCACAGGACAGCCTGAAGGCAGGCACAGACTCAGACACAGACAACAGACAGAAGCAGACAAGGGAGAGTGGAGTAGGAAGTCAAATCTGGACTTGTTCTTGGTTAAAGGACACCAAGGGGAAGGGCTTTGACGTCTTTCCTTAATGAGACGTTGACACGTTATTGGTGACACAGAGTTAATTAAGAATACATTAAATCTACACATTTTGGTGCCTTGTGTGAGGAACCATTAGTGTATTCAATCCAGGCTTTACTTTCACCTTAAACTTACTCTGCTTTCTTTCTTTCTTTCTCTCTTTCTTTCTTTCTTTCTTTCTTTCTTTCTTTCTTTCTTTCTTTCTTTCCCTCTCTCTCTCTCTCTCTCTCTCTCTCTCTCTCTCTCTCTCTCTCTCTCTCTCTCTCTCTTTTTCTTTCTTTGTTTTCCCCGAGACAGGGTTTCTCTGTGTGGCCCTGGCTGTCCTGGAACTCACTCTGTAGACCAGGCTAGCCTCGAACTCAGAGATCCTCCTGCCTCTGCCTCCCGAGTGCTGGGATTAAAGGTGTGCACCACCGCTGCCCGGCAACTTTCTTTTCTTTTTTCCTCATTTCTTTTTTTTCTTTTTCTTTTTTTTCTTTGAGACATAGTCTTACCATGTAACTCTGACTGGCTTAGAGCTCACTATGTATACAAAGCTGGCTTACAATTCAGAGCTCTGCCTGCCTCTGCCTCCAGAGTGTTTAAAGGTGTGTGCCCCCATAAGTGGCTTGGGATAGATTTTCAACTGTATTAAATTTTTAAAAATTTCCTGTTAATCACAGATGCTCAGGGTTGAGGTTGACAAGTCTGTAAACTGTCTCGAAAGCATGAGGACCTGAGTTCAGTTCCCAGAACCCTTATACAAGGTAGAGTTTTGGGGCATATGCTGTAATCTCAGCACTTGGGGGACAAAGACAGGTGGATCCCTGGGCCTTGGCTAACCTACCCAGGACAGTGAGAGATCTGGTCTCAAAACACAAGGTAGGCCGGGCGGTGGTGGCGCACGCCTTTAATCCCAGCACTCGGGAGGCAGAGCCAGGCGGATCTCTGTGAGTTCGAGGCCAGCCTGGGCTACCAAGTGAGTCCCAGGAAAGGCGCAAAGCTACACAGAGAAACCCTGTCTCGAAAAACCAAAAAAAAAAAAAAAAAAAAAAAAAAAAAAAAAACACAAGGTAAATGGGGACTGGAGAGATGGCCCAGTAGTTATGAGCACTTCCTGCTCATACAGAGGACTCCAATTGGGTGATTCAGAACAAACCTGTAACTCTAGCTCCCTCTTCTGGCTTCTCTATGCACCTGCACTCACATGCACATAACCTACACACAGATGAGTAAGTGAAAAACAAAGTAACTCTTAAAAACTACAAGGGTGGACAGTCCCCAAGGAAGGACACCTGAGGCTGACCTCTGACATGGATACATGTAAACCTGCGTGCACATACACGCACAGTCACGATTTCAGTGGCCATTTGTGGCTGGTGGTTCCCACATTTCTTTAGAGAGGGAAGAGTGCTGGCTAACTCAGGTCACAGGATCATCTCTGGGTGGGATGACCTGAATTCCAGCCCTGCCCTTTTCCCAGCCCTCACAGGTTCCTGATGGAGGTCAAGGTGGAAGGATATGGTGGCCTAGATTCCTTAGATCCACAGCCGCTGTCGGAGTGGGTCAGCCCTCCTGAAGGGCACACCCTATGGGAGCTCAGGACGCTGTAATAGGCCCAGCCTATTTATCCATCTAGAGGGCGGTGTCCATTGAGGAGGATCAACAGCACTTTGATTGACAGGACTTCAGACTTGTTCTGTCTTTTTTTTTTTTTTTTTGACAGGGTGGGCCTTCAACTCTCCCCCCCCCCCACCACAGGCATATAAACTATTAACATATAAACTTTATTAACAGCAAAGGCCCAGGGACTCATTTCTTCTTGGAAACACCCCCAGTACGGCCCCAGCAGCCAGTGGTCTTGGTGTGCTGACTGACCTCAGACACAAAGGCCCCAAAAGTGGCGCAGCCCCCTGTGGGCTCTAATCTTCTTCAGATGCTCCAGGTCCTCACGCAGCTTGTTGTCTAGACCATTGGCCAGAACCTGGCTGTACTTCCCGTCCTTCACATCCTTCTGTCTGTTCAAGAACCAGTCTGGGATCTTGTACTGTCGTGGATTCTGCATGATGGTAATCACACGTTCCACCTCGTCCTCTGTGAGTTCTCCAGCCCTCTTGGAGAGGTCAATGTCTGCTTTCCTCAACACCACATGAGCATATCTCTGCCCCACACCCTTAATGGCAGTGATGGCAAAGGCTATTTTCTGCCGCCCATTGATGTTGGTGTTGAGTACTTGCAAAATGTGCTGGAACTTCTCAGGGATCACTAGAGACATGACGGAGGCACAATTGGTGGTGTGTAGGTCTCCTGTGGAAGAACGGCCTTCAACTCTTGACCTGCTGCTTCAGCCTCTCGGTGCTGAGGTCATGGACCTGCACCACCATACCTGGCCTGACCTGGACATTAAAAAAATTATATCTATTGAGCCAGGGGGTGGTGGTGCATGCCTTTAATACCAGTACTGGGGAGGCACAGGCAGACTCTGTGACCACAGTTCAAGGCCAGCCTGGTCTACAGAGTGAGTTCCAGGACAGTCAGGGCTACACAGAGAAACCAGTTTTGAAAAACAAAACAAAATTATATCTAACTAACTAACTTGTTTATTTCTGTGTATACACACGCTTTACAGAGTACATGTGAAATTTAGAGAAACAACCCGAGAGAGCTGGGTCTCTCCTTCCACCACGTGGGGCCCAGGGATTGAACTCAGGTCTCCAGGCTTTTTACTGCAAGCGTCTTTACCCACTGAGACCCATCTCCCTGGCCCTGAATATACTTGCCAATAACTTCTCTGTCTCTCTCTCTCTCTGTCTGTCTCTCTCTCTCTCCCTCCCTCCCTCCTTCCCCCTCTCTTTTGAGCACTTTTTTATTTTTTAATTTTGAGCAGGATACCATGTAGCCCAGCTAGTCTTGAACTCGTGATACCCTGCCTCTATCTCCTAAGTGCTGGGATTACTGGTTCTGCTTCTATGCCAGGCAATTTTGTTATTTCCTCCTTCCTCTCTTCCCATCTTTCCTCCCTCCCTCCCTCCCTCCCTTCCTCCCTCCCTCCCCCCTCTCTGTTTTGTTTTGTTTTGTGTTTTTGACAGGATTTCTTTGTGTAGCTTTGGAGCCTGTCCTAGAAATTGCTCTGTAGACCAGGCTGGCCTCGAACTCACAGAGATCCTACCTCTGCCTCCTGAGTGCTGGGATTAAAGGTATGTGCTACCATGCCTGGCTCCTCCCTCTCTTTTGTAAGACAATCGCATTATGTTTCACTGATGGGCTTCAAACTCCTTAGCTGAACGTGTTCTTCCTACCTAGACTTCTGAGGAGTCACTGCTCAGGAGAGCTCTCCTGTACACTGGTGACCTGTTCCAAGCTGGGATGTTATGCCCTCTCTGGATGCCAGTGGAAGTGTGGCTCTGCTTGATGAGGGTCAGTAAGTCCTGTAACTATGGACAGTCCAGGGTTGGGGAGGGGCAAGTAGGAGAGAGCAGATGCGATTTTCTAAGAAACCAGGAAACCACAGCACAGACATGTGGTGTTTAGAAGAGTATTATAAGTTGGATATGGGGTTGCATGTCTACAGTCCCAGTTCCTGGGGAGGCTGAGGCAAGAGGATTGAAAGTTTGAGGCCACTCTGCGCTACACAGTGAGACTTTATCTCAAAAAAAAAAAAAGAAAAAACCCCCAAAAACAAAAAACAAACAAACAAAAAAACAACCAAAACAACAAGAGTTGGGATGTAGCTCAATGGTAGAGCACCTGCCTAGAGTCCTTCAGTGTCGTAGAATATTATTTTAAGATGTGTTACTTTTGTTTATGTTGTATTTGTTTAATTCTGGGAAGCTGTGTTACTGTGCCTGTCTAAAACATCTGGTGGTCTAATAAAGAGCTGAACGGTCAATAGTGAGGCAGGAGAAAGGAGAGGCGGGGCTGGCAGGCAGAGAGGAGAAATCTGGGAGGAGAGGATGAAGGAAGGAACAAGAGGAGGAGGACATCAGGGGCTAGCCATCCAGCTATACAGCAAGTTACGGAGTAAGAAATAATGAAATGTATACAGAGATAGAGAAAGGGGAAAGCCCAGAGGCAAAAGGTAGACAGGATAATTTAAGTTAAAGCTGGCAAGAAACAAGCCAAGCTAAGGCTGGACATTTATAATTAAGAATAAGCCTCCATGTGTGATTTATTTGGGAGCTGGGTGGTGGGCCCCCCAAAAGAGATAAAGAGTAAGAAAAAACCCAACAATACCCCAGCGAAGAGCCCCTGCCTAGAATCCCCCAGTGAGGAGCTGAGGGTATGGTTCAAACTACAGAGCACCTGCCTGCCTAGGAACTCCCCATCAAGGGCTTGGAGAGTACCTGCTTGAGAGAGAGAGAGAGAGAGAGAGAGATTAACGAATTTAACTTCCATCATTCTCTTGGAGCTACTACAGAATGTTCTTTTTTTAAAAAAATTATTTTATTATGTGCATAAAGTTATTAGCTGTATGCCTGTTGTGGTGGTTTGAAAGCAAATGGTCCCCAAAGGGAGTGGCATTATTAGGAGGTGCGGCCTTGCTGGAGGAAGTGTGTCACTATGGGTGTGGGCTTTGAGGTCTCTTTTCCTCAAGCTTCCCTCAGTGTGACAGTCAGTTGACTTCCTGTTGCCTGCAAGATGTAGGACTCTCAGCTCCAGTGTCACAGCAGCCTGCATGCTGCCACGCTCCTCACCATGATGATAATGGACCGAACCTCTGAAACTGTAAGCCACCCCAATTAAATGTTCTCTTTATAAGAACTGTAGTCCTGGTGTCTCTTCAAAGCAATAGAAACCCTAACTAAGACACCTGGTATGTGCATCACCTGGATGCAGTGCCTGAGGAGGTCAGAAAAAGGTGTCCAATCCCCTGGAACTGGAGTTGTAGATGCTTGTAAACTACCATGTAGGTGCTGGGAATTAAACCTATGTCCTCTGCAAGAGCAGCAAGTGCTCTTAACCACCCAGCCATCTCTCCAGCTCTGTGTTTTGGTTCTTGCTATGTATCTTAGTGTGTTCTGTATATATAGAACAAAATACTCGAGGTTAAATGCTTAGTAAATACAAGATTTATTTGGCCCATAATTATAGAACTTTGGGTGTTGGACCCATCATGGCTCAGCTCTGGTGACGATCTGATAATACATGGTGTCGAGAATCAGGAGCACATGCAAGGTGGCTACATTGGAAGAGGGACCCAGTGGGTTCCAAGGTCCCCTACAACAACCATTCTCTCAGGAACTGGTCTAGTGTCACGAACCCTTCTTTAATTTCAAGGGTGATGCCTCCCAGACTTAATTACCTTCACCTAGGCCCTAGTTCTTAAGGTTTCCACTAATTTGCTGGGCATGGTAGGCCATGTCTGTTATCACAGCTTCCAACAGGCAGAGGTGTAGGCAGAGTTTTCCTGTCCAGACTGCCTGCTCCCAGATAACCACTCTGAGGCCTCTACTAATTGTAACTGCTTGGCCAATAGCTCAGGCTTATTATTAACTAGCTCTTACATTTTAAGTTAACCCATGTTTCTGCCACGTGGTGGTACCTTTATTAGCATGGCACAGTCATCTGCTCCCTCTGCATCTGGCTGGCAACTCCTCTGACTCTGCCCTTTTTCTCCCCATCATTCTCAGTTTGGCTTTCCCACCTACCTTAATCCTGTTCATCTATTGGCCAGTCAGCTTTTTATTAACCAATGAGAGTAATACATATTCATAGTGTAGAAAAGGATTGTTCCACAGCACAGAGGCAGTGGGGTGGGGCAGGAGGCAGAGACAGGAGGATCTGTGTCCAGCCAGGGCTATGTAGTGAGACCCTGTCTCAGGGGGGAAAAAAAAGAGGCTTTGGCAGGAGGATCTTGAGTTTAAGGCCACCCTGTAGCCCGAATCCTAATTGGTCTTAAAAATAAAAACCCAGATCCAGATATCGGGGTAAATGCTGAAAGATCTGAGAGACAAAGGAGCAAGCCACAGCCACCTCTTACCTCAACAACTCTTCAGCCTGAAGAAGGTGAGCTCCTGTCTCCTCCTGCCTTATTACTTCCTTTCTCTGCCTGGCCATATCACTTCCTGTTTCCTCCTCCCAAGTGCTGGGATTAAAGATGTGTGCCACCACTGCCTGGCCTCTATGGTTAACTAGTGGCTAGCTCTGCCCTCTGATCTCCAGGCAAGCTTTATTTGTTAGAGCACAAACAAAATATCACCACACCACCCTGGGCTAGACAGTGGCATCCTATAAACTAACAAACAGGCCAAACCATAAAAGTGTACCTAAAGGGCTGGGGGTGGGGCTGGGGAGGCAGAGGCAGGTAGATCTCTGTGAGTTCCAGGCCAGCCTGGTTTACAGAGTGAGTTCCAGGACAGCCAGAGCTCCACAGAAAGATCCTGTCTTGAGTAGCTAAGGAGATTTCATGATGGAAGGGCACCCCCACTTTGAGCTGAGAAGTTTGTGGCTTCCATTGCCTGGACTACACTAAACTAAAAAAATAGTCTTTATCTGACATTCAGCCGCATGTTGTATTGTATCTGGCATTCTTCTGTGCCGGAAGTACTGGGAACGGAAGCTCACCACACCTGCTTAGGCTAGCACTCTGATAAGTCACACCCGTTTCCTCACTGAGGGATTCTAGGCAGGACCTTTGCCATTGAGTCACATCCCTAGACATCTGTTTGTCTCACTAAATTCCCCACTGGCCATGACCTCAGCCTCAGGAGTAGCTGAGACCGGATGGTTCTGCTCACCTGTGTTCTTCTGTTAAACTTTTTCTTTTTGCTGCTGGAGACTGAAGCCAGAGCTTCTGCTTGCTACGAATGTTGTTTATCATTGTGCTGTATCACAATTATTATTATTATTATTATTATTTTGGTTTTTCGAGACAGGGTTTCTCTGTGTAGTTTTGGTGCCTGTCCTGGATCTTGCTCTGTAGACCAGGCTGGCCTCGAACTCACAGAGATCCGCCTGGCTCTGCCTCCCAAGTGCACCACCACCGCCCACTGTATCACAATTCTAAGATGGAATTTTTAAGTTTCTCTTAATTTTTTTTTTTAATTTTAGGCCTGGAGAGATGGCTCAGCTGTTAAGAGCACTGGTTGTGCCGGGAGGTGGGGGTGCATCCTTTTAGCCCTAGCATTTGAGAGGCAGAGGCTGGTGGATCTCTGAGTTTGAGGCCAGCCTGGTCTACGTAGTGAATTTTAATCCAATCAAGGCTATGTAGAAAGACCCTGTCTCAACAAGACAAAACAAAACAAAAAAAAAAAAAACAAATAAAAAACAATAACAAATAACAAAAAGAACACTGGTTACTCTTTCAGAGGACCCAGGTTCAAACCCCAGCATCCACATGGTGCCTTGCAACCATCTGCAACTCCAGTTCAGTGCACTTGCTCTTCTAGAAGACCCAGGCTGGAGAGAGAGCCCAGCGGTTAAGAGCACTGGCTGCTCTTCCAGAGGACCCGGGTTCAATTCCCAGCACCCACATGGCAGCTCACAACTGTCTGTAATTCCAGTTCCAGGGGATCTGACACCTTCACACCAATGCACATAAAATAAAGTTTAAAAAATAAATTAAAATAAATTAAAAAAAAAGAAGACCCAGGTTCCATTCCTAGTACCCATATAGCGGCTTACCTCCATCTGTAACTCCAGCTGCAGGGGATCTGATGCCCTCTTTTGGCCTCCAAGGGCACTGCAGGCACTAACATACATACAGGCAGGCAAAACACATACAAAATTAACAAAAAAAATCTTCAAAAGAAAAACTTTTTTTTTTTGGATAGTGTTTTACTATGTAGCCCTGGGTGGCCTGGAATTTGCTCTGTAGACCAGTCTGGCTTCAAACTCAGA